ACATTTTAAAGGTTATTACACAAATTTTCTTTTACTAATTGCCTAAATTATTGCCTAATCGATTTTGCCTACAGATACAAATTTATCATTCTTGAATAAAACTAATAGATTCAAGTCCATTCATTGGATATTCATCTATTCTAGAGTAATCAATATGACTGGTATTTTTATTTATTTATCTTCAATTGATGTTTGATTGATTCAATTGATTGATGATAATTCCCATTTTCTTTCTTTTTGAAGTGCCCAGCATATGTGGTGATCGAGCGCGTGCGCCTTCTCATAATACTACGTTTTAACCCTTTCCGTGCGGTGGGCACGTATACGTAACAACGACAAAACTCGCTAGATTTTGGCGGGTACGTTGATGTACTCCACTGTTTTATTTAGCAATCGGTCGCAAACTGTTGGTCTAGTTTTTCCGGGTTTTAGTTTATTGATAAGAAGTCTTCTTCGAGATTAACATAAGCGACTGTAAATCTCGCTTTCGTTTACCATGGGAATTTTATTTGCGGCGGAACGAAGGAGTGTTTTTGAAATTTATGCAAATTTAGGTGTTTTTTGGGTGGTAATAGAAGACATATTATCCCTTCCATCTACCAAAGTATTTTGAGTTAGATAACGAAATTGCTACAACAATATTATGCTATTGTTTGCCAACCAAGAAGCGGTAACAGTAAAGGATTTAGCAAATATTTCTATTTTTTATCACGGTTTGAAGTTTCAACACCCAAGAAAAAAAATACCTTTTTTCTATCCGGTTTGTGACTCAGACCACCCCTTTTTTTTTAATCGCCAATTGCAAGATCTTTAAATAAGCTTTCCAACGAGCCGTCAGTGGGCAGCAGAGGATCATTACTTTTTCGTTAGTCGATCGATTAGTTGTGGGGGTACAAATGCATAAAGTCGGCGTAGCAAATATGATTATTTATTAAAAAATAAAAATCGCATGGAAAGGGTTAAATATTATCATTTGGTTTATTTATTTCAATTTGCATGTTCAATATTTAATTCGAATATTTTAAACAAATTCATTATCTTTTTAAAAAAAAATATTACGCCCATATTACCTTTTTTTCGAAGTGCCTAAATAAGTCAGTAAGTGCCTAATTTTCAACTACTGCTACTTTTAGTCCGCCACCATTTAGGCTCTGTATTTGTAGTACCGGTACCGGTATCTGCTGTCTGAATTTCAATGACATTAAACAACATGATGCGCAACTCCGGCATTTTTGTCCGAAGATCGTATTCGATAGCACGCTCCAATGCACATACTTGAGAGACGAAAACGAGCGGATGTGTGCTGCTTTCAAGGCGTAGCACGAATGGTGTTCGTGCCTGCTTTGACAGTTGTTGTCGATTTTAATGATATTTTTGAAAGTTGGGGTAAAAAGAAATCGGTAAAAGGTAAGGTGAATACTATTGTTGTATATCACACCCGGGTATCGCACTGTTAAGTACATGTGGGAAAGCCAGCCTTTGTCAAATACTACGAAGTTATTAATTCAGTACGGTACGTAGTTGCCCATTTGCCGAAATTACATATTTACTTACCCCTTATGGTTTCAAATAGTTCATGCACCTCCAGTTAGATTTTTTTAATCAGTGAGGATATATACTCATTGTTGATTGCTGCTCATTGTAACATACTATTACGCATTCACTTTTATTTGCGTATTGAATCAAAGTGTTAACAAGTTCACCTAACATTTCACTCATACCGGTCTATCTTGTCTGATTTCTCAAGTATTTGGAGCCACGAATGCTTGTAATTTTCTGACTAAACCCTTTTATTAGTTGGTTTATATACCAAATTCAGTAAAATATTTTTTAAATAAAACATGAGATACTGGATTTATTAGCTTTTCCATTCTTAATCATATAGACTGCTTTATTTATTCTTAACGAAAATTAATAAATCTCCTCTCTTTCTTCAGATGTGAAAGTTGTGGACAAACCTGTCTAAGCATTGTGAGACTCTTGCAGCACAAGAGGCAATAGCAGAAATAGTAAGTATATCAATCAAGAAATTAAGCCGACATAAAGCAAAACTTTCAACTATTCGTCTAATCTCAATTTCCTATTATTTATTCACAGGACAACTATAGCAGACGGGGAGATATCAGAAGTCTGGCGACATATCAGTGACAGTGTGATTCCAAGAAATATAATGCAATTGAAAATAGAAATTTGCAATAGAAAAACAACCTATGGAGGCATGCAAAGACATTTGACCCTCCGGTAGAGTTGTGTATGGCCCCCACATCCTGCAGGGCTTGAGGAAAACAACTAAAAATTCCAAAGCGTAAGATTGCATAAGCGGTCTTATTTGTAAAAAGGCACAAAACACGCCAGACATACTTAAAACAGCTTTGGAAATGAGGATTACGGGTACCTCACTGCACCTGTGTTATATTTGGTTCATCAACTTTTGGTAGTACTATAGAAGAAATTCCGGAAGGGGTATAATCATCATTCATGATAAAATACTATCATATATTTTTTGAACAACTTCAATCTAGACCAGGGATCTCAAACTCGCAGCCCCAGAAAACTTCCAGTGCGGCCCTCGAACGCTTAACAATAATTGTAATAGTATTTTGTTTTTTTTATTAAGTTTTTTTTTTTATCTAAATGTAATAGATTTTTCAAACCTTCTAAAGTGAAATTGATTATTCACACAGAAAACAATTTACTGAAAGTAGTTTTGGAATATTAATTTTTTTGTCCACATTTTGACCCAATTAAGAATACACATCAAGCTAGCAAAAGAATACTTGAATAAAACACTTGAGTAATTAAATTAAACGCAAAGTACATGAAGCAGGTGGCATTTTCGAAGAAAATGGGAGTTGTAACATTTCTGCTCTTCACAAAATTCTGAAGCACATTGTTTAATTTGTCATATTTCCATCAATACAATCAAAAAACACAATAAGCTCAGCAGTCAATATGACAAATTCGAAGACCAACTTCGAACAGAAAATTTCCATGTGTTTGTATATTAATATAATTATACAACGACTTAGTTACTAAAAATCAATATCAATAATAATTCAAGCAATCCTATGCCACGCAATGTAGTGCGAAATGTCTTGTCGAAAAAATCTGTCATTTGTTTTTTTACTGATCTATACATGAAATGATAAAAGTAACTTTTTTGCATTACTGGAATTAATTAAACATTCGTAAAGATCCAGATAAACCCATGATCATGTGGCCTCGTTAGTTAGAGTTGGTACTATAAAATCATTTCAGACTGGCCCTAGTATGCTGGTGACACAAAAAAGATGCCAAACGCCAGGACAAATGTAATTTGTGTAAATGTAATTTTAGGTTCATATAATTAGATTAAGTTATTTTTAGTGTATGTATTATTCTTTTCTTATTCAAAGCTTGTTCAAAAATGATTTTGATGGTTGTACATAGAATTTTACGATTTTTTATAATAAATACTGTAACTTGCAAATGTTGCAATATTAGTGGAATGCAAATATTAATATGTAATTGCATTTGAAATTGAAGAAAATAATAAAACTTAATCCAACTGTTTAGTTGCATCACAATATATGTCACAAACTTAAACTATCTTAAAAATATCTTTTAAGTATACATTATCAAAAACTGTTTGCGGCTCTTTTTACAATTTTCAAAATGCAATGCGGCTCTCGAAAACCCATGAGTTTGACACCACTGATCTATTCTAGACGATTCAAGCATTGCTTTGGGAAATTATATCACTTCAATTAAATTGAAATAATCTCGCTATATTAAATACAAAATCGTTGCTATCATAAAGGTAAACCAATTCAGCCACTCGAAATATATTGGCCTTCACAAAGCAATGGAGGCAAAATTGAGAGTTCATGAGCTATGAACATTTGTTCTTTTCTTTGTCTTGAACTTTCCATACTCCACAGCCCCTATTAATTTTTTTTAATTTTAATTACCATGTGATGGTCATACATATCTTTAACTTGTATTTTCTGTCATGATGTATTATCTCAATGTGCCAAACCATTAATTAGTGTGCATATTTTGCTTCCAGATGACATAAATGTATTGTCATGTAACATGTTTATTACCTCAGCTTGGAGTATTGACAAGAAAAAGGTGCCAGTAAATTAGGTAAAAAAATTTTCAACTCATTGTTATAATCAGAATTCACAATCAATAGGAATTATAAACAGCCAACAATCAGTGAGAATTATATGCGAAATTCCTCAGAATAAATTTGTCTAAAATCGGAGGAAGGCAAAAAATATAGGTAGTTTCCATCCACACAAGCATTTCAAGAAGACTTGCTCGAGCCAAACTAAATGAGCACCGTCAGGTGATCGGTAAGGCTGCAAGTTGAATTCAGCCCTGCAACCTCCTGCATAGAAGATAATATTAATTAGTGGGCTATGAGCTAAATTCCTAAATTTAAACAAACCTATCTACGATGCTTTATGTACCAGCAATGTTACCTACGATTAACTGAATATGTAATATGTCTAATAAATTCACCTACAAAAGCAAGTTCGATAGGTGCAAACTTTGTGTTATGGAATTGTATCGCAGCACAGTTTTGTATGACACCCTCTTTAAATGAAATTTCAATGATTAAGCGCAAACATTAAAATTACTAACTTTGAACTTTGTCATTATCTGCAAAATGTTCCACACAAATCTTTCCGCTATCGCGTTTGTAATCTTCTCTGATAAAAAAAAACGTCTATGATGTCCAGAATTGCTCTTTACAGCTTGCCTGTTATTCCAGCTTTCCAAGTAAGCAAAACTTCTTAGATATAGAGATTATTTTGTTTCGTTACAGGCGCAAAAAGGCAGGTACTACACGTAAAAAAGACGCCGAGTAGCAAAAGCGAGCGGAAAACGGACGCGGAAGGCGACGAGAAATATGTGCATTGGAGCGTATAATGAAATACAATGCTTTGCCTGTAGTCTTATGGAGTGACGTCAGAGTTGCCTATCATGTTGTTTAATGTCATTGCTGAATTTAGAATGATCTGTTGTTTATACAGTAATACCTGAATACGGTAATATGCTTCTGATTTTAGAATTCTACTGTTGACTTGGAGGCTATACTAGCGAATGGTAAAATTATCAGACATATTAGTTTTCTAGCTGTAATTCCCCTTTTTAGTCAAAGGTGGAACAACTCTGCAACTGCAGATCTGTGATAAAATGTTTTTATTTCAAAAACCAAGGAGGTGCAGCTTTGTGCTATTCATTTCTGTTGGTAAGTTGGTTCAGTAGTTATGCATCATACCTTTCTGTCTTTTAATTTTTGATATCCTCATGTCATTTGAATCATTTGAAATTTTACAATGATCACTGGATCAGGTGTTTGGGGTCTGGTATAGTTTAGTACCGTACCACATGCAGACATGCACTTCTAGTTGGCCTGGCTCAACTAGTTTTGCATATGTCATTCCTAACCCCCACCTGACTATTCACCAAAAAATTACTACGATACCAGAGTGGCGTAATGAATACCTACAAAGTGTACGGATGGTCGTCCAAAGCGCTGCAGCGCTACAAAGTGTACGGATGGTCGTCCAAAGCGCTGCAGCGCGCAGACGATCACCCGAAATTGAGCAAGCTATTCCTCTCGTTTTCTCGTCGCAACAGATCCCGATATGAGAGAGACAGCTGGTGTTAGTGAGTTCGGTATCGTCGACACAGATACCATTTCGGACGATAGTAGCTATACTTGGCAAGCTCTACAGATGACGTGATTGTGACGTCGTAGTGACGTAATTTTTGGATGACATAGGGTGGTGTAGCCAGTCTGCGGACGATTTCATTCAAACCACTATAAAACAAAAACCAATATTTCTAACCCGTTAATTTTTCACAGTAGGTGCATTGGCATTTATTCTACACGCTAAATTTTGAATTAACTTTCTACGACCAGGGGTTAAAGCTATTCAAACCACCAAGGTACGATACTCTGAAGACATATTTGCGATCGAAAGACCAGTGTGTTACCACAGATTTTTAAGCCTTGAACATCGTTTCTGCTGCGTCGAGACTAGGGCATACGCAGCCATGCGTGAAAAAATGGGCTTCTAATTGCATTTCTGACCATCATATATTTTAAGCACACTGTTATTTCGAACAAAACTCGTCAAATTATAAAGCATTTCTGACCATCATATATTTTAAGCACACTGTTATTTCGAACAAAACTCGTCAAATTATAAACAAAGCTCGGCATCACAGCAATCAAACAGACAAGAACACGGTGGACGCAAATTGGTTGACAAAGATATTATCAACGTATTGGAAATGCACACCCCCTATTCCCCCTCCTTTAAATGTAGAAACACGAAGCTTTAAAATGGGTAAAAGGAACACAACTCTACCCACTTGCCAAGTTTCATCTTTTTATCTCTTATAAATGTATGGATTTTCAAGCTATTTTAAAGAGACAATAGGTAGTTGGCGACATGGAAAAATGTTTCGTTTTTTTTTTATTCAGTCAGGTTTTTGGTCATAACTTTTTTGTTTGTGGCCGCATTTTAGTGTAATTTCACAGAGCTATGAGGGATAAGTGGTCGATAACGTGTGAGAAATATCGCCGCGGTTCGTTAATTTTTTCAGGATTAATTTAATCGATGAACTTGATGTTCGCAAATAGGTCGTGGCCGCAAAGTGGGTAAGCCACCCTAGTCAGATGAGGGTTAGGAATAACACATACAAAATTCGTTATGCTACGCCAACCAGAAGTACTTGTGGTACTAAACTGTACTAGACCCAATAATTGTTTACAGTAGTTTCTCATTACAGCATTATGATTATATTTTAAAATGATTCCTTAGTTTCATATCTCAAATTAGTGATGCAACCCAAGCTTCTAAGTATCTTTGTTTCAGGATGTGCCCTGTACCAAAAAAGTGTCAAAATTACTCATTTCCAAATATATTCGGACAAGTGCCATTGAAGAAATTTTATGGACTTATTTGCATAATGATAGAATGATATGATAAGTTTGGCTTACAAGAAGGTTTATGATTCACTATTTTTTTGGTTAATGAAAATTGTTTCGAAACTCCGAACACAAAACAGAAATATATTTAACCACATAAATAATAGTTTTCATGATGTCTTACTTCAGACTTATCCATTGTCAGATTGTATATTTGTAAACAGATTTTCTGGATCAACAAATCAATGTAAATTCGGCTTCCAGACTTGGACATTGGGATTTACTCAAATAAAAAAATAGACTAAGAGACAAGACCTGAAGACTCTGAAATATAAACACCCACATGAATTCACTAACATCTTGATCTATTCAAAACTATGCAATAACAGTTCATCTACTAAATACATATCTTAGGTCAAAGCCAAAGATTATCAACTAAAATGTCATTATCGTCGGCCTATTGCACAAGCAAATTTGTGTTTTAAACCAATTTTTTTTATAACAAATGTGACAGAAGAGACAAATAGTTAGTTACTGTCTATAGTAGTTAGGGCTGTCAAAAATCGAATAATTTTTTGATTCGAATCGAATATTTTCGCCGAATCGAACCGAATAATCGAATATTATTGCGCAATCCTAAATCTGTCTCTATTATACCATAAACGCCTGCCCTTCGATGTTGTGGTAACGTATGTGCAGTTACATCTTACTTACTGCTGGTATTTTGTTTTTACAATGTTTTCAGATTTATGAAAGGAGATCACACGCTTGAGTGAACTGGTCAAAAAAATTGGAGGGCCCCAAAACTTGGGTCTCGAAAACTAAGATTAAAAACTGCATAATTCAAAAATTGCAATCTCAATTCTAATGGATTCAGCATGTAGATGCTATTCTAATCCTATTCATTAGTCTCATGTTTTTTGTGTAATTTTCAGCAAAATAATAACAACCATTAATATAGATAAAACTGTTGCTCAAATTTAAAATTGCATTTACCAAATTCGAAGCTAGTTTGATGACAATATTATTTGATGACTATAATATTGTTAGTGAACAACAGCCATCAAAATTCAAGAGTGCAATTATTTGTCTTGGTATATAGATGGACAATACAGTATTGCCATCATAGGAAATTACAAATTCCATTGAAAGAAGGTATTGCCATCATAAGGATCCCAAAACACCTGTTTCAGCTTTGAGCTGCCTGTACCATGTTCCTATGATAACTAACTCAACAGCTTCAAATCGATTTTATTTATAGAGCCATCGTTTTTGAATTGCCTTTTTCTCCTTGTTCTCTCTTAAAACGTCATTACCGATTATAACTTTTAAGTTATGATGACCATGCATGAAATTGCTAATCACGTGCCATCGGGCATTAGGAATGACATGTTTATCACAAAATGAAGGCGGAGAGAGGGCATTAGGAATGACATGTTTATCACAAAATAAAGGCGAGAGAAATATCGGGAAACCAATTAAGCCGGGAGCGAGAGTGGTCTAAGCTCGAAGCGCCGCCACTTGTCCAACGAAAAACGTCCTGCAAAGGTGGTTTTCGTATTCTGTACATAATTTTAGCGATTAGGAAATTAGCCGAAAAACGATTCGAATAATTTACGATTCGATTTCGAATATTTGGTTCGCTTGGACAGCCCTAATAGTAGTATTCTATTTTGGTGAGAGCAAGAAATCATATTATTAAATAAAAATTATCAATGGTTCTATCGCATATTTTTACCCATCAATGGTACCACTTAATAGTCCAGTCTGGATTTCATGACCTTTCTCCACGAGAAATTGGGCGAGTTCCCCGCATGCAAATCAGAATTTCTGGCGTGCATTCAGAGATCACTGCATGACCCCCAAACATTATTTCCATACCTTGTCAATAAATTTGAGAGTGTTTTTTCGACTATAGATACTGTTCAAAATGTAAAATTATTATTACTGTAAAATTATTGGATAAAATTGAACCAGAGCAAAATGGACGTATGACCTTTGGCCCCCAAACAATATTTTTATACTGTCATTAATTTTGAGTGTTTTTACGATTTGGTGGTTAAACACTGATTTAAATGTTAATAACCATCACTTTGATTGATTAGTCAGTTACATGTTTCAGATGCATGGAATTGATGGCGGGGCAAGCCGTAACTGATCAGTGTCAGCGAGGAGTCTAGCAATCTTTTCGCACATAATTATTCTTACAAGATTCCTATCATACAACACGGTGCGCCACACCGCCAAGCAATTATGAAACAAGGTCTTTTTCGCTACCCTTTTTTCGATCAGGCCAAATCTTGCAAGCTAGTGTATAGACAACAATTGTGGAGCTACAATTTGTTGGCATCTTTTTATTGCTGGATCATTGATTTAAACACCATTTTAACCGTTTTTCATTGGTGAGCGATTGCTAATTTTCGGCGTGCATTTTTGCGAAGCGCTAGCGCCCTTGGGCGTGCACCTGCCATGGAATCCAGTCTGGTTAATAGTTATTGATACACAATCCCAATTTATTATTAATACATTTTTTGTTCTTTTTCAGTTGAATTGTTAGCTGGGTATGAAGCTATTCCAGCATCATCTGACAATGTATTTAAAGTTCTGCCTAAAAGTCAAGATGTTAATCAAGGAAGAAGCGCTATCCTGCAATGCTCACTGAAAACAGAATTTGTAGATTCCTATACTTTGTCTTGGCTCGAAGATGGAAAGGAAATAAAGAATGGTCGTCGAAGGTACTGTAATCTATATCAGTGCTTCTTGAATTGCTGGACGTCTTAACAATGTTACAATTGGGCATAAGATTTCCTAGCTGGGACTCATATACTTTAAACCCATTCCATGCTGAGAAATCAAGCTCTGTAACACTAATATCGACATCATTCATGAAATTCTACTGTTCCTCAAATCATTCCAATATTATCATCAATTATTATGCTACAAAGACTTATTTTGTAGTATTCTCACTGCGATAGTTTGACAGCATCCGCCATGCTATATTTGGCACATCGGCATGTTTGAGAAGGCTTGCGATTCCTCCATTTCGAAATCAAGACCCTGCCATCAATAAAGTACATACTTAGATTTTGAATCCATCTTACCCTTCGAAGGAATTTATTAAATACTACTTTTATTAAGACTTTCAGAATATAGGGACTTTTGTACTAATGGTGATGTTTTTTCCAACGATTTCCGGTAGATTTTTTGGGACATGTAATATAACTCGTCAGCAAATTTTCAATAAATACCTGCTCAACGAAATATGTGCACATATATATGAGGATGGGTAGCATGGCAATATGCTCACTTTCTTCACTTTCATTTCTTCGATTGGCAATTTAAAGACAAATTGATAACTAGCTTGACTTAGAATCCGATACTATGCACATGATGTTATCCACAATGTCTAAAATTAAACCTCTTGTTTTAGAATAGTTCCATGATTCCTATTGATGTTATATTCAGAGGAAAATTCTTGTTTCTTTGGTGCCGATTGGTTTTTAATTTCTCTCCCAAGAAAGAGGACGTGAATTTGTAGAGTCTTCAAAGTGAAATGAGTCTCGAAAACTTTATTAACCCTAATCTGGATGCTATTTTGAACAAATCTTTCAAAATATTCCGACAATGAATTTACAGTTTATGGTTCAAATTTGTAGCGATCATAATTGATGTAAAAGATTTTTCATATGTATCTATAATTTTGCTTTACACTGTATTGCAGATATATGAATATCTTTTACATCAATTATGGTCGCTGCAAATTTGAACCATAATAAACTGTGATTTCATTGTCGGAATAAGTAATAAGTTAATAAATATAATGTTTTTTCAACATATTTCATGATGCACAATTCTTTATTAAGGTTATGTTGGGCTCACAAATCACAATGGAGTCACATTTGTCATTTTAAATGAGACTTTATTTAGTTTCATCAAGAGCATAACTTGATTTAGATAGGATTGTCTAGAGCAGGGGTTCTCAACCTGGGGTTCGCGAACCCCCAGGGGTTCACGAGAAGACTTCCAGGGGTACTTGGACGGCAGTAGAGTTTTTTGTGTGTTGCTGTTTTTTAATATCCTTTATTACTACCATAGGAAAATGTGTGTTGGTTGAAACTAGATGCCAATTGAAACGTATATTTTCCCTGATGTTGCATTATTGTGATTGTGACGCAACAATGTGAAATTCACGGCTTTGCAGGCAAACTGTGAAATCTCAAAAGACAGCGTGCTGCGAGCATTGAAGAAAGTGATTATGCTTATCAAAACTTGGGGGAGATTTAAGAATTCATTAGTTAGGTGCAGGACAAGGGCAATAATATCAACACGAAGATTTAATTTAGTTACATCTGGTCAATAAATTGTTGTTTCAACAAATCGTTAGTCAATATATCACAACTTTGTTCGGTGTCTGATTACCGGGGGTTCGCGTTGATTGTTTCGTGACTCAGGGGGTACTTGACAGAAAAAAGGTTGAGAACCCCTGGTCTAGAGCAGTGCTCTTCAACTTTTTTGTTATTGTGTAACCCCTGATATAATTTTTCGTTTTTTATGGAACCCCAATTAAAAAAAAAAAAATTCTATCTTTGGCAATAGAATTACATTTGGTTCGTTTCGGAGGAGGAGCAGGTCACCGTTGTTATTATTTCGCCTCACATAAGAAAATATACTATTTTGCTTCATCTGTATTAACTACCGTAAATATTAAAAAGTTGGGTTTCACACTGTTTATAATATATTCCAACAAAAGCTGAACAACAACTCTAGTTTCTAGTATATAATCTCTCTAGTCTCGAGCAATATCTACATACTTTGAACATCATGTAACTATGGTGCAACAATAGCGTTATTGTTAGTTCCATAACAATGACTAAAGTGACGCAAAAACCGAGAATATTTCTGTTTTGTCTATTAACTGCACTGTGACTAAACCTCCTGTTTAACGAACTGGCCTACTTAGAGTTTGAATGCGACACGGTGGTCTAAGAATATTTATAATGACGCATCAACAGGCTGGAGGCAAGAAATGATTTCCCCTAAACAAAACAAAAAAACGCGAAACCCTATAAACTCACGGAACCCCACTGCATGTACTACGGAACCCTAGTGTTCCGCGGAACCCCTGTTGAAGAGCACTGGTCTAGAGTCAGACCTATTCATACTACAATTTTCTTTCATCTATTACAGGCATGTGGGATCAGATGGGTATCTCCATTTGGATACTGTTGATAAAGATTTGGATTCTGGAAAATTTCAATGTCTTGCGACAAATATAAAAGACAGTTTGGACGAACAAGTTACTGATCCTGTTACTCTTAATATCAAATGTGAGAAAGTGAAAATCATTTTAATAGTATGATCAGATTTGGTAAAAATTTCAATCCTGGTCAATTTTGATAATTTGTAAGGTTTACTGGAATTAGCAATGGAAATTGTTACAATAAATATATATGGGTGTTTTTTAGGTACTCCCATAGTATGTGAACCAAGGATCACAATGTATCAAAAATCCCATAGATCAAAATAACAATTTAATTTTATTTCCTGTGGCTTAGTGACTTCCATTTCAATAATAACTGGTGTTATTATTAAACAAATATTTATAATAAACTACAATACCCAAATATATGGGTTCTATCATTCTGGCGAGAAATTAAATTGAAATGCCCCTGTTCAGGATATAAGTTGCTATGGTATTTGTAGGCTATTAATCTTTTCTTAATTAATATGATAGTACAGTACAATAATTAGGAAATAATATATTATATTGCTTCCTATTTTGATACCAGTTAGAACTTATATTATGATGCCATGGTATTTGAAAATATGCAGAAGACAAATTCCACATTGGTTTGTGCATCTTACAAATTTCATATTGAATATGTCAGAAGGCGCGCAGCCAGGATTTTCAAGAGGGGGGGGAGAGGGTCATGACTCATGAACATGGAAATTCCCATTGCCGTCTGTAACAGTCACCGTGATTACTCGCTCGTTAAGAGCCACCTTTTCAGCGTATAACGATTTTTCTGTCGCATAAAATATTCAATTCATGACAACTACGAGATTCTAAAATGTTCCAGTATATTAATTTAATTGTGTCCAACATAACTCGTGGTTGCGATTTCTTACGTCAAAATAAAAACATTTCCACACTAAAATACCACGGTGATCTGTGGACATAAAAATATGAGATAAGCTGCCTGACGTATTTATTTTTGATAAGTATTTTTGCAATCTTCAGAACTCGTTATCGCCGTTAGTAAATCTCGATATCTGATAAAATTTTACTTCATAATTATAATGCAAATATATAGAAGGTATAGGCCTACCACCAGTAAATCAAAAATACAAATTCACCACCTCGAAATGCACGTCGAACAGTCGCCGCGATTACGCCACTTGTTGAAGGAGTGTAAAATGGTTTTTCTTTTGTGCGAAGTAATTAGTCCATGACCGATACAGGCATATTTAAGATGTCTTGCTTTATTAATTCAATTGTCTTCAATCTAACCTGCTGTTGCGTTGACAAAACAAGAGCCACTCTAAAACACCAACGGCAATCCGCGGACATGAAAATAAAATGTGTGGTAAACTGCCCGATTATTACTTATCGATTTTAATCGGTAAGTATGTTGATAGGTATTTGTCTGTTTGCCTGTCTGTTAGATGCACGCGATATCTCACGAAAGCGAGATTGGATCTGCTGCAGATTTTGCATGTGCATTCATCATATCTCGTATCAGAAGTCTATTGATTTTGGGCGAATTATGTCGTATAATTAGCGAGTTATCAATTAATTAGTGGTGGGACACAAGGTGTCACTATGGAGTAAGAGCGCTGTTTTGGGGATCCCCTAACTTTCGATCGATAAGTCTTCGGTCTCTGACCCATATTCTCGTTTACTGTTTTATTTTCAGCATTTCATATTGCCGCTTTTCAATCAAAAAATTTAAATCACAGATTATTTACTCCTTTATTTGTCTTTAGAATCTCGCCGCCGATGAGGTATAATAACTCTCACCTGATTCACAATATCGTGCGAGTACAAAAATAAAATAATTATCATCGCCATCGTTGCACAAATTTGTGAATTAGACAATAAACACCGACGTCAAGGCGTCTACGGCCTAAATAACGCGCCACAATGATGAAAACAATCGCCGATTTTAGCAAAAGGCAATTACACACGTTATTGGCCACTTTATCAGTTTTGAAAGAAATTCAAAAGGGGGGGTTTCGACCTCGAAAACCCCCCTGGCTGCACCACTGTATGTCAGTATTTTACATTTTACAATATTTGTTGTGATTTTAAACAAATTGAATACTTTTTGCTTCAAGGTCATTTTCTGATATATTTGAGTGGTTAAAATGGAATAGAATACGCATATTGATACCGATATCATTTTATTTCAGGGGTTGAGGTTGGTGCTGTTACTTTGCGGGTCCCAGCAGGAAATACTGATATATTACCTGGAGCCCGAGTCGTATTGAAGTGCAATGTCACAGGCAAGCCGGCGTAAGTATTCTACCTATTTTTGCTACATCTAAAACATTATCTAACAATAATATGTTCCAAGACAAGAAATTGTGTACTTTTTGTCTAAATTATTAATAATCATTAAATAAAGCAATGAGTACAAGAGGAAATGCTGAGTACTTTTTGGCGCAACCCTAAAAAATTATTTTAATTTCTTGCGATCCAAGCATATGGTGAACATATAATTTTGTGGAAAATACTTTGTAAGTGAATATCGATTAAGAATACAATTGACGGTGGAAATTTTTTGCCCAAAATTGTATGAAACATATAAAACAATGAATAATTGCATTTATTCTGCATAATGAGAATTATAGGCTACATGTTTATAACACAACATATCAATTAAAGGTTTAATTTGAAAGATGGCAACTCGAAGACCTTCTTCTACTTCTAGCCTTGCTCTGTATTTGTTTTTGATGTATGATAACGCAGAAAACCTCCTTTCACATTTAGAGCAATTGTTTTAAATAAAGTTTTTGTTTGTTTGTTTTGTTTGAAATGGCTGTATTATTTGATTTTTTTGTGTTCTAAATAGGTTAAAACTAAAACAAGAAAAATGTACGGAAAAACTTGACAATTGTTTCTTTTTCACAATAAGCACTTCGAAACGACACAAATATTGATGAAGTGTCGCTGCCACTTACTATTTCAAGTTGTTTGAGACTTCAGGAAAAATATTGAGATATTATTTAATTAAGCTTTTTGAAAGTTTGATGGTTAAATAGATAAGTTTATTTATAAAATTAAACTGTATACCAATGAAAACAAAAAATATGGGTTTGTTCATTTATTGTTTTCAAAAATCAAGTTAGGGTTAGGGCTATAGGATATTAAATATATTTGAAACAGATTCCAAATATATGAATTAAAATTTATGTTTGTTGGATTTGGTATAAAATCTAGCAGAAATATGTATAAAAGTTTTCAGTGTTGTTCGAATCTGAAAAAGAAGTTGTTCTCAAACTACTCAAAAAAGGCTATTACTTTTACTTATTTTAAAAAATTCTGTGTGCTCTATGGAATTCGTTTTTCACTTTAAATTTCTGTTTGATGAACGTCTTCAAAATTAAAAAATTCGTACCGTTCCGTGGTTCTGTGACCCAATTTCAGCGACCTTGTCAGACTACTGGTACTGTAGAGTTTTACACTCATTCAATTAGCAGCAAAATGGCTAAACAGCAAAAATACGACAGTCTCATTCTCATACCAATTTGGGCCTTCAGTATCAAAAAATGTTGGTATTTTTCCTATTACATTGCATTTTTGCAGTAGTGCAAAAAAAATTCAGATTTTATATCATATTCATGAATATATCGCACAAAAACAAGTACGGTAGTTGTGAGCATAATGCCCCTGCATTTAAAATCATTATCCCATTCGCCTCCACTTACTTATGTGGGCATGGTTTTCTACACTTGTTCAAACCAAGACGAAAGCAGGGAACAAACTTAATGTGCAAGATTACATGAGATAATTCAGTAAGCTATTTGTGTTGCGTACGTGAGGAGTGACATCTAATTTAAATGTTGTCTGAATAGTTCTATGCTATGTTCTTCTCATGTGTTTTTGCTTTGAAAATTGTGGGGGTTCACAGTTACTTCAGAGAAGCATAGGGGGCCGCAGGTTCATAAAGTTTGAGAACCACTGTGATAGAGAATTCTTTGCATTAAATCAATTCACATGGCTATGTCTGTGACCTATACTAATTAGGGATGGGCCGGGATTCGAATCCGGACTCTGATTCGAGTCGAATCCAGGCATTTTTTGGACTCTGATTCGATTTTGAGTCCACGTCGTTTTTACCGAGTCTATAATCAACTCTGTTTTTACTAATTTACACCTATGTTTGTACTTTTACCCCTATAAATCTCATTACATACCATAACTAGTTGAAATTCAAGGTTAGATATGTAACAATATCACTCGTGTGTATTATAAACACTCCTATTACAAACGATGGCAGATATCCAGATAATATACCGCAAGTTAAAAACTATAGATAGGTTATAACAATGATGCGCCAGTCGCCTTCAAACTATCAATCCTTTTTGGTATACATGTGGTACACAATAAAATATGTGTTAGCGCAATATTTCAGAGTTTTCGATTCACGTAAATAAATATGAAACATGCGCAGGATCAACCCGAGGGAGAATCTCATATATACCTCTATTAAATCGAGTTTATTATGTGCATTTCTTTCTCTAAAAAGGGAGCAATGGCCCTCTACCATTTGCGCACGTGACATAGTAAATTTAAGGCTAGAAATATCTGGGATTATGGGGAAGCATTGTAGTCAAAAGCTTTTTATTTTTCATATTGACATGTAAGAATTTCCAAATAGCCACCCAGAATCTACGCAAGGTGGTGGGCTGGAAATTCAGTCCACAGCCAAGGCGCACATTGACCCACGTTTACGTTTGTATTATGGCCGCCAAAAAAGAAGAAAAATATATTTTTAAATTGATTCAACAAAAAATATGAGCTACGACGTATGTTTGTGAGCGCGCGATGCTGTAGTATGGTCAAAAACGTGTTTTTCTACTTGTACATTGTGACACACGGACTCGGAGGATTCGCTTCGAGTCCTTTACCTATTACTTGGATTCGTCGAATCTCTGTAAAGCCGGACTCGTCTCATCCCTAATACTAATAGCATAATTTCTTTTTTGCAGACCACAAAATAAGGATATATCATGGTTTTTGAATGAGAAGGATGTGAACAAATTATTAGAAAGAAATATTATTGTTAATAGAGGAAGATTAGTGATTGAAAAGGCTCAACTTGGCATGTATGATGGGACTTATTCATGCTGTGCTACTGTGGGATTGTTAGAAAAAAAATGCAGTGTGGACAACTATGATCTTTACGTGAGAGGTAATATAGACAAGTTTTATTAAACTTGTATCTGTATATTTGGAATTGACACTGAATTATTTTATCATCTTTTCTATGTCTTATTTATTTCTATCAATGTATAATATATAGATTTCAATATTCAGATCATTTTCATTTTGAATGTATGTTAGTCAGTGTTCACTCTAAGGAAATTATGAGTGCGAAGGTGCTTCGCAGTTGGAAAAAAAAAAAGTGCAAATGTGCCCTGGTCGATTTTAACAAGTTAGGTGCCCTAGCTTTTGTTGTAACTCATTTCAAACAGCATTGATACTCAAAAAAGTGCTCCTTCCGTTAATATTACGAATTGAAGAGGAGCCTTTCCGTTAACAGAGTTTTTTTTAAACCCTTGTTTAAAACAATTGAATCCATCGGTAACGAAAGGACATCTGCTAAGCACACCTATCGTTAACAAAACTTTTGTGCAATTGCACGATTGCGTTGCACATTTGTGTTACTCCTTCCATCTAACAGACAACGATTGATACATGCAGCATGGAATTGATATTAGTTACTAGCAGCCATAGCTCGGTGCTAAATGCCCAACTTCGCCTTAAGAATACATTATTGTTTCATTTAGCAAAGAATCATTTGTACAAAGCCTGTGCAAAATAACATCGCCCGCCACCGCCCAAAATAAAAATAATAATTATCCAAGTAGGGTTAGGAATGCAGATTGCGCTGAAAATTCAACTTTTCAATTTATCCCTAACTCTAATCGGATAATTATTAATTTGCTATTTTAAAACGTAGTGACTGTATTTTTCTCAAATCATAACATCATACATTTTTGCATAAGTGGCATGGATTTTGCACAAAAGATCCTGGGGGGTCCTGCCTCATATGTTTTGAAAGGGATCGAGTTACAATACCTCATGCGCGGTAATACAGATATTACCATAATAAGTAACACTATAGCACGCATTTGTTTTATTTAATTGCGACATTTCCAGATATTACCATTACACTAATAGGAACGATGACACCAAAGAGTTTACTCTCGCGAAGGTATACGAAATACAACAAGGATGATTCTTGATAAAAAAACATGAATATAAAAAATAAACGAATGATATGATAGTGCTCACCAAATAATTTTTAGTGTGTCACACAAGAGATAGGTCGACCTACGTTCCCAGTTTTTTCTGTGAAGGATCACTTTGAAAATCCTCCCCCGTTTTAAGAAATAGGTTGACCTACTTTCCTTTCAAACCTTTTTTATTAAATTATTGCAAATATTACGCAAGATCATTTTGAAAATCCTCCCTCGTTTTGTAAGCTAGCTTGACCCTGATTTCTCATTTGCATTTATATTTTACTATCTCTGAGCTTACACAGAGACATGTAATTTTTAAATGTTGGCGTGCTTTGGTTTGCGTGCGAGTTAGTTAAAATCTGGTAGAAAACATTAGTTAAAATTTGGTAGAAAACATCTTATATTGGCAAAATTCTCAGGAATGCCATGTACTTTCAGCATTCATAAATAGCACTTTCTGTAATGCTGCAGACCTATTGAAATATTCGCATACCAATGCCACTTGCGACTTTTCTGAAGTTTTAAACGGGTATGCTCTTTGAGATGCACATAAGCGTGACCCCCAAAACTGTATAGTTTTATAGCCTTAACTTATGTCCCTATGCTGGAGTGCAAGACTGACTAAGTAGTTTATGATAAAAACTTAATTTATTTTAGAAATCAGGACGAAGACAGTCGTCATTGTGTACAGATAAACTAGACCTATTTTATTGAAATTTTTTTCAGATATAGCTGTTCCATTACTGGTCACTCCACCTGAAGATGTCATTGTCAGGCTAAGTGGGAATGCAAAATTTGTTTGTGATTTTGATTCTATTCCTCCTCCAACCATAGAATGGTCTCGGGATGCTGATATTTTGAAACCAAAGTGGGTCATACTAGTTGAATTATACTGTTTCTTCTTTACCATTCTCATCTTTTGCTTTCCTTTATCCTATAAATTATCTTGTTATTGAACTAGAAGATTGGTGTGAATAATTTTAATTTGTACAAGGCATAAAAGGAAATTCAAGTTTCAATGTTATTCATAGATCTACATAGCTAGAGATCTTCTATATATTCTTTTTGAATCCATTTTTAATCTGGAGGTTTCGAAAAATTTGTTTTGAACCGAAACAATATTTTGTGTTTTGCTCTCTTTGTTAGTTATGCATATTTCCACCTAAAAACCCTTTAACAACAACAGGTATCTGTTCAAGGGAGTTATTTTTTCATAAATGTTTGCTTTGATTTGAAGCTGCATAAGCAGCATGGCGATAATCATGAAATATCTACAGATTCATTTATCAATGGGCTTTCATGATATCTTATATATTTAATAATTGCCGTACTTAGTTGAATGTACTGTTCATATCATCGGAATTATTTGTGATTTGTTTATTCCATTTCCACCTAAAAACCTATCAACAATAACAGGTATCTGTTCAAGGGAGTTATTTTTTCATAAATGTTTGCTTTGATTTGAGCCGCATAAGCAGCATGGCGATAATCATGAAATATCTACAGATTCATTTAAAAATGGGCTTTCATGATATCTCATATATTTAATAATTGCCGTACTTAGTTGAATGTACTGTTCATATCATCAGAATTATTTGAGATTCGTTTATTCCATCCATCTTAGTTCGCTTGACTGACATTGTATTATTCGTTGAAAGCACAGTATTACTTTCTATACCTGCCTTTGAAGTCCAATCTGCCTTTACTCAGATTTCATTTTGATCTCTTTTTAAACTGAACGCTTTGCCAAATCCGTAAAACACTGATTTGATTGATGCACTGGTTTTTGTTACAAGTTCTCTGTTGCTTTTGTATGAGTTTGAAGGGTTAAAAGCATTTTTGTACATTTCATAATGTGTTAGCTCAGTATGGTTATAGATAAGCCCTTAGCAGATGTATGGACAGCTGGACTTGGAATGATTGGAATTTTTGTAGTTGTATAATCAAATTCTAAATTCTAGCAAACTTTTATCAATATTTGATTTGGTTGGGTTTTGCTGTATTTTTATCAGTTTGAAAGTAATTATATGCATTCATTTTGATTTTACAAAACTCACACCAGCTTTATTAACATTATAGGGACATTTGCAGTCGGCTGATATTTTTTGAGTCTGTTTAAAAAAACATGCACAATACTCCATATGAAATCTGTTCTTGAATGCCTTATCCTTCAATAATATAATCTCAAGAAACTCTAGAATCTTGTCTGATATAACTTTAATTCTCCAGCAAATTCTTCAAATTTATAATTTGTACTTCATAAATTATACACACTGCAAATAGATGTATGTGTGGCCTGGTTAAAGGCAATGTTCACTAGAAGGCCATTTTTTTGTGAAAGCTGGGATTATTAACTTTCATAGTTTTTTAGAGACTGTGAATAGCATTTTCTGAGAAAAAATTTCTCAAATAAAGTTGACAAATGAACTGCATGCCAGCACTTTTGTAATGCAATGTTGTATTACATACTGTGATACTGATAAAAATAGGCTATATGGTGTGGATAGGGAAGCCATGCCGATAATAGCTATCTGAGATATCGCATTAACGGCAAATTGTTGTTTATAATACCATGTTTTGTTTTACAAGTACTTCGATTATACTTTTCCTTCAAAAATGCTTAGCCGCATCGACCAGATAAAACGAGAGTGGACACATGACTTCAAGCACGATTTACTAATACAAATATCTGGCTGAAGCATATTTATGAAACTCGTTTCGCTCATAATTATCCCTGCACAATTAATAAAACACAACGGTGCATCATTTGAACAGCCAGCCAATTGCTGTTGCCTATAAACATCCATTTTTTGTAACCACATATATGTTTAATTGAAGTACATGGCATCCACAGGAATTTTGCCGATAAATGTTATCTTCGTGATTCGACAATAACTCTTAATCCGATTCGGCTTACCGGCATGGAAAAATTGTATGCAACCCTTTCTGTTTGTGTTTGATATAATATAAATAACGAGTTATCTTCTTGGCCACTGAATCAGGAGATTGTTTGTTGTGATTGTAAAATTCTCCTCCCAAGGAAACAGCGAAGCAAGGGCCGATACAGCAACTCATTGGGTGCACTGACACCATTGCAATTACTGATCCTTTGATAATAACACAAAATTCCTCTGTATTTGCGCTCAAGTTTTGAATGTTATGTGTCAATTTGTTAAGTATATTCAATTTTAGTATCATATTTATATGCAGTTTAGTGGGTAGAAGCTGTTACTGATGATTGATTGTTCCAAATTTCTAATTTGTTTAGTAATGCCATGAATCAGCCTTTATTCACTTCTGGATCTTATAGCTTTAAGCATTAAGCACCAACACCTTACCAAGGTTTTATTAGAATACCTTATTGGGCCATCCCAAGGGGAAGATACTATTTCCCTTAACTTTTTATTTTGTATTAAACTTAAAGCAATGGTGTGATGAGAAGCTATTTGAAAAAATATGATTGAATTGAAATACCTAATTTTTCAGAACTGGCAAGGATTGCAGAATCTGTGAATTCCCAAATGGAACATTAATTATCAATGATGTGAAAGAAAGATTTCAGGGTAAATATACTTGCAAAGCGGCAGGAATAAAAGGCGATGAAATGTCGGCAAGCGCAACATTATCTATTGCATGTAAGATGATTTTTTTCTGCTCTGGAGAACGTAATCACCCAGTTTGCATGAGGGGTCAAAAAGCTAGGAACGGGCAACAATTCAGAATAATCAGTGATTACTAAACCAGAATACTCAAATGGAGTCTAACTAAATACGGGTAATGTGGGTTTTTGAATTGCTCAATTGGCATTGCATGGAATAACACAAGCAAGAAATTCGTGTTAAGTTTTTGTGAATTTGATATCAATAATACCAAATTACTCTGTGTGACACATTAACTTTTAATTTAAGTTTCCTATAATTTTCCTTCCAGCCATAACATTATAGTGTCTTTGTATAGTCTGTGTTTCTTGAGTGATTCTAATGATATGGGTTGTACTCTTACTCTATCGTAAGAAACAGCACAGTAACTGACAGATATTGTGCGAAAATGTATTACGAAGTTTTCATCAATACAATCTTTCACCTTTGAAAATTTATGTCATATAATGTTTTAGTTGAAGTATTTTCAAAAACTTTTGTGACTTCGGTGGTTGTTTATTTTAAGCCACATCAAGTGTTTTTATTGTTAGTATTTCAACATAAAAGGACAAATATCAGATATTGCATTGTTCTCCACTTGTCCATTATTTTGTTTTGCAACCCAAATCATCTGGGGAAATTTTGACTATCCGACTGAACGAGTGCCTCCCCCATTGAAGCATCCTGCTTTCACTTTTTCATGAAGAAGTTTTAGATTATGATCATGGAAAAAAGAACGAAAATAAGTTTATTAACAGGCTATGCAATTTATAGATCAGTTCTCCGATACTTATTTAGGATTTTCATTTTTATTGATGTAACGATTGGCCATTGAGAGTTGTTAATCATGGCGGAGCAATTTTGTTCCAATTGTATTCAAATTGAAAATGTTCACTAAACGCACAACCTATGATCTGTTAGCTAGGATGTAGATGAGCACAAAAATATAGGGTTTTCAGAAAATCGAGCCAGCATTTTTATTCGATACAAACTAGAATTTCATTACTGTGTAATGTGTATGTTTTCAATGAACAATTATGTTCAATATAAAATGTTAATAGAGACACTTATTGATTTAATCTTGCTGGTAATATCTAAGCGAAATTTATAGATGTTGATCATTACTACTGGTTATTTATAAAACTTATCTTCTTAGACATTGATGACTTTTCCAACCCACAGGAAGAAATTGAATTTCTCGATCTCGGGAATGATCTTGAAAAAGTGTGTGACCCTCCAAATGCTCTTCCACCAGCTAATATTATTTGGTTTAAAAATGGAAAAAGAATTGGTAAGATCTTGCATCTTGATATATAATTAATACACTAAGAGTCAGCCAAAGCTGTTTATGCATATTTTAACCAGTTACCTGACAAAAGATCAGATTTTTATTGTTCCTACCTAACATCAAACTATGTAGTTTATTGGCTTGAGCAGGTATTGGTATTATTTAGTTTCAATTGCAATTTGTTGATATGGGACAGTAGTGAACCAACTTTGAACATGTGTGGACATGTTTTCGAAATAGATAATATGTATGGTGCCGTGTAATATATTTTACTTGACAAGGACCCATTTCTTCCATTCATTCCATAGTGATTTGAGTATGGCAATTTTTTCCTAGTTCTTTTTAAATTTTTTGCTTGTTTGCTATCATCGTCGATTCTTGCCACTCCATTCGGGAATTTTTTGAAATTAAAATAAAATTATTCTCATATGTAATAGCAAAACAAGTGCATAATTATTAATTTATCTACCTATGTAGGCTATCTAACTCTAAACTAGTTTAATATTAAACTATATTAGTAATGAATTAATAATAAATAATAAATAAATTACAGATGACTGCCTATTTTTTATAACCAAACTTAACTATTCAGTATTCTCTCATCCCCTGGTTAATTAAGAAACATAATTAAATTCATCCAACCCTGATGTTAGATTGAACCCAGTTTTAAATAATGTCGCAGGTTAGTCTGTGATTTATTAAAAAGGGAATAATAATTGTGGGAGATTTAATCATTAATTTTACAGCCATATCTGATGAAAGTGCAAGTCCTCGTGTTACTGTGTCGGGTCGAACTTTGGTTATTTTATCAATCCAAGCATCAGATGAAGGAAAGTATTCGTGTGTTGCGGAAAACATGGCAGGGAACGTTAAAAAGTTTTTCATCTTCAGGATTAGATGTAATCTTTTATTGTAAATATGGAAACCTAATTACTTTTATTTATCACCTTCTGAAATTAGAAGTATTAATTAAGCGTTTGCTAGTGAGAAGAATTGATTTTTAAATTGATGCCTTGTTCTCTAGGTCGGAATATTTTGGTAGAGTTTCTAACTTCCAATGACATGATTCCAAAACTGAAATTATTACGGACATCAACTCATTTAGCCAATTCTCATTTGAATATATTTGAAACACTGCGTAACTGATATAGAATAAGCCAGATACAGTATGCCAAAGTAATTTAATTCATATTTTCATATCTATTGTTTTTTCAACTAATTTTAATTGTGCAGATCTGGATTCGAATCAGTTTTATAGTTTTTACCTCAAAGTGTAGCCACTAGTAGAACTTATTGGATGCTCATTCATAGTGTTAACTGTATCTTTATTGTATTTCTGGCAACTAACCATTTCCATATGGTTTAGCATGATCTGTGATGTCATCAGTTACAGGTGACGGACCATGACCAACCATGTGTACTCGATAGTTCAGTTCAGTTGGTGTTGCTTGAGGGTTACTTTGGTTATTGCCTTGGACATTTATTAAATACACATTTAAACCGCATTAGCACATAATTCTGTTGAAACATCTTTTAGATAAATTTGTTTATTCATTATTGCACAGAATCTTACAGTACTCCTTTCCTTTGACATTAATAAATCTATTACTTTTGTTTTCATCCCAGCTGCTCCTATATTGAAATCAGAACTTGTGTCAAGAACTGAGAAAGAAGGAGATGATGTTACATTGAGATGTCACGTTGATTCAGTACCTGAACCATTTTATACCTGGTATCAGAACTCTACACTGTTGAAGTCTGATCCACACTATTCAATGACAGTAAGTTGTTTTCTGGTAGATGACATTTGAACAGATGCAAAACTGTCGAAGTCACCATGTACATAACATGCATACTGTAGTGTAAATTGGTAAAAAAAACAAATTGATCAAGATCCAGATTTACATAAAAGTTTTCTTCAAAATTGATGTTTGCTTTTCAGGACAATGAGTTAAAAATAAATGGAATTATGATGAAAGATGCTGCAAACTATCAATGCCTTGCACAGAATGCTCTGGGACATGTCAGCTCCACTGCATTCATACATGTTGAAGGTAAGTGAATTCCTTTTGGAATTTATGTCTGAAGGTTGGTAATACCTCCATTCATTTGCAAGGTGAACCTCTTTTTCAGAGCAACTTAAATTTGATCCACTACCCATGGATACTTGTGCAGAAATTGGAACCAGATCAGAGATTGTTTGCGGGGCGCGAGGTGTAAAAAACCCATCTGTTAGCTGGACTGTGAAGTTAATTACAGGGGGTAAGTAGGGATCTAATTGTTTCAATCAAGTATTTTGTATAGAGAGATCAAGCTGTCCAGCATAGAACAATATTTCATTTCAGCCCTAAATTCATTTTATTCACTTATTGTATCTCATTTAATAATATTTTTAACTTTGAAAATGTTGCTGTTTTGAGACTTTCGACAGATAATTGTTTTGGGTGAATGTTTGTTATGGTGTTCACTGTGATTTTAAATGCTATTGATTGCTGGTCAGTGGTCACTGTGCTCCTCCGGTGTCTCCACTTCTATATTTCTATTGACGTATTTGGTCACGTCAATAGCCTGAACTTGATTAGTCCCGATACTTCTTAAAATTTAATCATTATCACTATGGAAATAAATTAACTACCATGCATAAATGATCTCTTCCAATAAATTTCAGGTTCTACCATTGAAGATCAGTATAAGATTATTACTGATGGAGATGGAAAAGCAAATAAAACATTAGTCTTTCTCGATCCCAAGCCCGGTGATGCATGGGAAGCATTCTGCACTGCCAATGAAGTGGATAACACTTTATCATCTAAAACAAAACGAATATTTGTATCTGTTGGGAGAAGACCAGAAATTATTGTTCCTCCTCAAGGTGCTACTGTGTTCACTGGAACACCATTCAGACTTGACTGCAAAATTGGACCCAAGCTTAGCTGGGATTTATCTAAAGTAACAATTTAAATTTACTATCGTGGTTACTATTTATTTTTGTGAACTATTATTTTGTTGAAGTTTATGATAAACAACAATTCTCATTTTGAGCGAAATCTCTGAAAAAATATTGAATTGATGCAAAACACTGTATACATTTCAATAAACCTGAATAGATATTGACCCATGTACTGTTTATTATATTTCAGTAAAAATGTTTTTCTTGTTACTGTTGTAAATAGCTTGCCTTAGAAAGGTTGGTTAAAGAGCGTTGCGACCAAATATATTGAAGGTGACATTGCCTACCAATTTGTCAACATGAGTATTCAATCACCAATTTTGAAAGTGTGTATTAAGAATGTTTATTATTTTATAAAGTCTCTATCTTCAAAGAGTTTGAACTATTATATACACACATTGACATGCAGGTTTTTTTAGGTTCATTGGACAGTATATTCTAGCAATTCTTCGAAAACATTCAGCTCAAGAAACAACAGCGAAGAGGTCAGTTATCATAATATCATGAACAATGGATCTTTTTATATCAAGAATGTTAGCAAGGTGGATTCGGCTACCTATTTGTGCTCCTACACGGATTGTGGAATCACTGTTCAAGCAGAAGCTGTTCTGGATGTTGCAGGCAAGTTTGAATAACTTTGAGTATGAATATGTGCTGAGATTGTACCAAGTAATTTTCTAAAATTATATACGCTTAATAAAATTTCTCGAAAGGAATGAATTGCACACTATCATCTGTTTAATCTCCTGAAGAACTTCCTTTTTACCAGTGTTCGCTAGTTGTCGCAAGTTGACAAATAATAATTTGTGTGCGAGTAATTTTGTAACCCAATTTTGCATTACATAATGATATTTGCGGATATTATAAGCTATGTGGTGCAACCATTGGAGATAAAGCTATCTGGTATTTTGCATTATTTAACAGCAAAATCCCTGTTTGTAGTGTGATGTTTTATACAAGCGCTCCGATTCCACTTCTCCCTCAAATGGCGTCGGCCTGAAGTTGAAATGCTTTTTTGATCATATTGTCTGCACTAAATATTAATTTTTTAATTTATGATTATTTCATTTTATGTATTGTTTACTTGTTTCAGTTTGTCATTAATTATGATTTGTTGGGTTTTCATTTGTTTCAAATTCGGAACTGTCCAAAATGCTCAAACAAATGTAATCGAATGTTTTGGAGTTTTTTGAATATGAGTATTCTACCTTCTACTCAGAATAAACAACATCGTTTACGTTTTACAGTCAGCTGATTTCACTCTTGCTATCAAAGCTTTTTAGTTCTGTATATCTTAACACAATTTATCACCGACAGACTTATAATCGTGTTTAGGATAAGTTACTTCTATTTGTTGGCGCTGATATTGACTCTCATTTTCGTATAGAAAGGGGAAACCCTTCTACCGTTATTTGAAATAAGATACTTACGCATCGTCTCTGCTAATTGACCAGCAACATCACAAGATTCAGCATCAAATAATAAACAAAATTATTTAATATTCATGGTTTCTCAATAAAGAATTGGAAATTGTGGAAAAATCAGAAAAATGTGGCCCGAAAACATATCACAGAATCATAAATGAATGTATTTTATTAACATTGAAATACACAGATAAGTGTTTTACATTTCATGGACATATAACTGATCGATGCCACATATGGAAACGATTATTTCCTGACTGGGTGTCTGATATTTGAGAATCGTACTTCTCCTTCAACATTAATTTTCAGGAATATATCGTTCATACGACCGCATAAAAAAATTATTTTTCCATAAATTAGTTGGGAACCGCTAGCATATCTTTTGTTTCTTTCTTTATATTCATGTTTATTTCGAGAATTATTCGTTGTATTTCGTGTATGTTTTCAGAAGAAAACACATTTGTGTCATTGTTCCTATTTATTAATGTAATATATGGAAAAGCCGCAAGAGGCATCAGGGTGCAAATATTTTTTATACTGGGTCTGCAGCATTCCGGAAAATGCTATACCATCCATTGCCTCTCAACAAATATGCGATACTTGGCTAATTTATGAAACAATCAAGATCGAACAACGCAATATGGTTACTGCAGACTAATTTGAAATATGACATGCAAAATATTTTCCGAAGACATCTGACGAATGGAGATTTTCCAACAAAATGATTCCACAATTATAATAATAGCTAAACCAGATGCAGAGAAATTTATAATTGTATTATGGTGGTCGCAGATTGATTGTAAAGTATGTTTGATGACCTTCCTCATCATTACTGCGCAACAACCATCACAATGTATCTGGTGTATTATTATCGATGATAATGGGCGGCTCCAAATATGTAATGAAAAGCCTACTAACTCAACAGCTGCAGGTCGTTTCTTCTATTCATAGAATGATGATTTTCGATGCTAAATTGCCTTTTTTCAACTATTTTTCTCTTGAAAACATTTTAATTATTGAATTTCGATAATAACTTCTAATTCTAAGTTAGGAGCATACATGATAAGGCTGATATCATACCGTCAGGCATTAGGTGATTGCGACAAAACGTTTTCCGCGTAAATAAAGGCGAGAGAAATATCAAATAACCAGCAATACAAAGGACGAGAGTCAGTTACGCACGAAAAGTGGCTAAAAGACTTTTTTCTGTGTGTGTGCTTTGTTTATATTATATTATCATACGATTTGATTATTCTCAAAATAACCGCAAAATGATTGGAATAAATTGTGACTCTATTGAAAAGCCTTAGTTTTTTAACAGGCACAACACTTTTTCGAGTACCCTACCTATTATATTTGAAAAAGTTAAAACGTAGGCTAGGGCGCTTAACTTGTTATTAAAATCGGCTAGGGCACTTCCACACTTTTTTTTTTAACAGCGAAGCACTTTCACACTCATAACTTCCCATAAATACGCAAAATACGCTCTGCTAATAATTTTCACGAATAGTAACATTTTGGTCACAATCGATCAATTTAACTTGTAGCATCTTTAAATTATATTCATCAATTAGTGCATATTTATTATAATTGCTTTTGCTGTTTGTTCCGATTGTGATGTTTTCACCAGTTGACATAATTATAACAGAACGAGACAATCCAATTACATCGTCCAGTGAACCTGGTGATAATTTTGATGACAATGGTACTCCACAATACAAGAAAATACAAACAATTGCTCTTGCGGTGGGAAGTTCAGTCGCATATCTTATATTAACTATTGCTATCATTGTTTATTGCAGGTGAGTTCAGCTCATCTTCTTTATTTATGTATTGTCTTTATATCAGGAGCTTGCAATTCATTTAGAAAGCACGTATCTCTGTAAATAATTGAAGCGATTCATAATAATAGGCTTCAATTAACACAATCTTTAAACATTCTATAGGAGGTTAACATTGATTGCAGTTTTACATTTGCTAAAATTTGTATCTATTTTATATATCAATCATAGAAAATGTCAAGTTTTACTTGGTAGGATTTTTTTTGACAACTAAACATGCAATGAAAATCAGGAAGGTTCGCGAAATTTCAGTACAGAATTGTTTTTTGATAAACATTTTTATTGGTTTCCTTCATCGATTAGACGAAAGAATCAGCACAATAAGAATGTGGCGAAAGGATCCGAGAGTAATGTTGAGGAAATTAATGGGGAAATGGAGGAAAGGTTGATGTCTAACGGTAAGATTGTTTAGAACATAATATAATATAATTGTTAAAATTGAGATTTAGAGGGAGTTTTGTCTGGATATATCGGACATTCAGCTGCATTATTATAAGTTATATGCACAAAACCTCCTTACATTTGATTAAATGTGGATATATATTTATAGTGAAATTGTCTTTCCAATGTGTCATAATCTTCTTCAACACTTAATATGAAACAGGGTGTCATCAAGTCCAAACCTCTTGACTACTTCTGAATATGTAAACCAATCCAATAATTAATATTATCAAATATTCTTTCTTTAATCAGGGTTTTCGAGCCAAGTAAAGGGTCAAACAAAAAAGAATGGAGTAGCTATGTTAATGGAGCCAGTCATACATCTCAATGATGAAATTGAAAGTTTGCAATATGATTCGAATAATCTGGAACGGATCACAGTCATAGGTTTTATGTTATTTTTGAAAGATAGGCTATGTAGATTACAATAGTTTGAAATTTGATTGCATACTTTCACTGTAAGAAAACAAATGCAATACAGAATACAATGTAATTTTGCGTATTTGAAAGTAAATCCGATATTAAATCATTGTATTGGTTGGTTCAATGTTCAAATGAAACTTCTCTCATGCAAAACTTCAAGACACACAAAATTCAGATTCTTTTATACTAAACTCGGGCATTGCTTTACCAACTGTATATAAAAAATGTATGTCAAAAACTTCACCCTATGAAGCAGTGCCTGTCGAGACAGTTAATTAGAATGTCACAAATTGTTTGACTGCTGTGAGAAGGGGTCGTTAGTCAAAAAAAGTTTGAGAAATATTTCTCTCTATCTGCCAGCAATGAATCCTTGATTATCAAGGCTCTATGTTATGCTGTTTTAACATTGGGCCTTGTTTTAAGTATTATTTGATAAGAAACTATTTATTATTTAATTGTTTGCAGTCCATGTCTCTATTAAATAAATTTTAGTTACTTTTTTCTGCATTGAGTCATGTTCAACGGAATAGCTTTGTGCCTGATGGTGTATTTGGGAGTTAGCCATTGTGTTAATACCATCTCTATCTTAGTGCTTTTTTATTCAGGAAGTGGAAATTTTGGGGAAGTCTTTCTTTCCAAAGCACCTGGACTTTTCCCTAATCTAACTGAAGATATTTTAGTTATGGTCAAAGAACTTCAGCCACTCCATTTGGAGAAGGAAAGCAATCATAGGTGAACATAGTACAATAGTCGTGGCTGATTTTATGACAGAGCATGTTTGAATGTTTTTGATATTCGCCGATCAATGTTTGTATGCATTCAATTAAGGTTTAGTCAAATGATGTTGGCGTATATGTTTTGTTTTCAGGATACCCGAGGAAATCCGCTTAAATGCGCTTTCTAGGAGATGATCGGTATAAACCAACTATAAGCACCAAAAAATGAATGTCTATTTTCTATTTTCAAACTTTGCCAAGCTACCAGCTTGAAAAAAATGTTCTATTAAAGATTAGGCACTCTGAGAGTCATGATATTTTCTCTAAAATATATGACAATGTAAAACGCTAGCGTGTTTTTTTTTCAGTGCAAACAATTGCAGCATGATAGTCAATGATGAAACATCAGAAAAATCACGTCATTTTGAATTCAACAGAGAAATAAGACTTCTGTACATGACAAAACATGAAAATGTTGTTAAACTTCTTGGAGTATGTAGTAAATATACAGACTCGCCTACTAATCCAGATCATTTGATTACGGAATACCTTGAATGGGTTAGTCATGCTGCTCTACACATCTGTTTTACTGGTATTTAACTTGAACATTTGCTCAATTTGCATTCCTATCTCGGATGCTGCTTTAGAAAGGGATGAAAACTATAATAATGGTGAATATAACTATGTATTAGTGATAAGTATATTTGCATTTAGGGCATATTGAAACTGTGCTTACAAGCGTCGAAAGAAGGCAAGCTTCAGAGATTCAACAAGCTCATTAAGGTAAGTTGATTAAAACCCTTCCCAGCTGCAACCTGCCTATTTTGCCTGTTGTTATTTGAGACCCCACCAATCGCCAACAATTAACCCCAAAGACGTCAAATTAGGTGCGCTGAAATCATTCACATCAAATCTATTCGCTAGAAGTCACTGCTGATCAAGGAATTGAGTGGTATTTTTTTATGTTTACTTTATTTAAATTCTTTAAACCAGTCAGTAAAATTTTCTACCATCGTTTTTTGATCAAAGTTGCCACAAAATAAATGTAGTAATAGTCACGTAAGAATGCATCATTTACTCTTTATTGCTCATAATTGAGATATTGCATGCTTGTTATCTCCCAGACATACTAAGCTTTGTTTGGATGTATCTGACAGACTTACGGTAGCAAAAATGCATGCTCAGCACGAACTATTTTATCTGCGATATTGACTCGCATCCCCCTGCGACGAACAGCTGCTCTTATACTGATTTGTAGCACAACAAAGAAGTTTCATGTGATTCATAACAAGGATGATATACCCGTTGCAAAGACATAGGGCTCCCGAGGCCAATTATATTTGATGTTTTGAACAACCATCCATATAGAAATTGTCAACATAAAATCATATCCCTCGAAAATTCACCGGGAAAAGTCATGAGCCGCCACCAGGAAGTAATTACCTGTAGAGAAATTTCAGGAAATGAATATCGTAATATGTGAATCATTTTTACACACAGATATTTATCACTGTACCATAATATTTTTTCCTTTCTAGATGAGAATGTGCTGTCAAATTGCAGCAGGACTTGATCATTTGACCAAACTCGGACTGACTCACCAAGATGTAGCCACAAGAAATTGTGTCATTAGTTCAAAAATGTTAATTAAATTATCAGTTTTGAGTTTAACTGAAGAAGGATTTGAAAAGTACGTGCTACTTCCTTTAAATTATCACTTCAAATTTGATACATAGGTTATTCATGAGGTTTTCCCCGCCAAGTTCACATTCCCTGGGGAAATATTGGACTTTTTGTTTTAACAAAATTTAGTCACCTCTTGCTTCCACAATAATGAGACTGATTTGTAAATTTGAAGAAAGCGGATCTGATCTGTTGCTGACTTGCTGATGAAGTGCTGCGAGCTGGATTTGAACCTGTGAGGGAATATTGCAGCAGATTCCAAGTCCAATGCCTTACCGCTATTACAGCTGACAATTGCGGTATAAATTCGAACATAACTGTCATTAAATTCAGTGAAAAACGAGGTTTAATCTTGCATCATTTCATCAAAATATTTTCTAAATTATCCTTCCCACTTTTTGAAAACCACAGTAGTGGGATATGATGGAATATGTAGTGATTGGTGACACTATTCATCCACTGTGAGTTATACCAGGCTGATCACATGAATGTGTTGGTAGTTTAGAGGCATGGAAATAATGTTTTGTCAAAACTAAAATTTTCAAATGTTTGGTTTACTGTGATATTGTGCATGATTTTGTTTTTTATGTATATTTACGTAAATTTACCAACTAGAAATGCCAATAATGATTTGCAATTATTGCATTCCTGATTTTCATTTAGTGAAATTGAATTATTATATTTAGCCAACAAGCTTTGTATATTGTATTTTGTTATATTCATGTTTTAGTGAATACACATTGCACAATGGAAAATTATCACCAATAAGATGGATGGCTCCTGAATCTTTGCTAGAAAATAAAATTGAATTACAATCTGATGTATGGTCTTTTGGAGTAACTTGCTGGGAGATATTTACTTTCGGCGAAACACCATATTCTGATCTTACAGATAAAAATTTTTTAGATGGTGAGTATGGTGCTTATTGTTTAACACTTGAAATTGCCTCCCTGACTACTCCCGATGTTTATCTGCTCAAAACAGACCAAGAATGTTATTAATTTTGTCATCTTTTTGAATGCTACTGAAGTTGATAAATAATTAAAAGTAGCGGTACATATCTTTACATGAAATGCGGATTCATAATTTAATGATGAAGTACTATATCATTATTAATATGTCATCTTTTGCAAAAATGTCATTGACTGTCTAGTTAATAGTGAATACATTTTTACAGCAATGCAGGAGGGTCACCTTCCTACATTACCACCCTTAGAAAATTCAAAACGAATTACATCACTTATATCAAAGTGTTGTCATGAAAATCCAGCTTCTCGTCCAGAATTTCATCAAATTGTTAAAAAATTACAATCTATTCTGGGCTTGGATGCAAAGTCAGAGAAACCAGCTGTCACAAGTTCTCGTGAAACTGAAGTTGATGTTGAACAACCTCTGTTATCTTCCTCTGCCCAACAAGATCTAGAGGTTCAGTCCAATGTCAATCTTGAGGTTAAAACGTGATGTTAATTATGTAAGTTTTGATACAAGTGCTTGTGTCCATGTATTGTCATTTGGAATGAAGTTGGGCCACAGTACGTGCAGATGTGTTGATGTTGTTTGAGAAAAAGACTGCCTTTCAAAATACAGATCAGGGAACATTGGGAATAGATTCAATAGAAGAAATCTAAGAACGCTCCGTTGGCAGTGGCAATTTATATATATTTTTTATACAATCCCACTTGCATATAACAACATTGCTTGTTTTCATTTTTCGAAATGGCTCATTTGTTTTGTTGTTTCCTTCAAATATAATCAAATGTTTTCATAATAACTTCAATTCTTGGGCATTGTGACATTTTTATTTGCTTACCACACTCCCAGGTTCTGTTTATGCCAAATTTTACTGTTGTCAAAACAGACTGGAATTAATTTGGAAATAAATATTGTCATAAAATTATCGATTTACAGCATGCCCTTACCTCAATATTGAGTATTCTCATTTCAAACATGTTTTAAATTTAGAAGTGGGTAAATGCATGACCCCATCCAGTTGACTTGGGCAGCTAAAACCTCGGTGTCCATTATCAGTATCTGTAATATGTCAGTTTTGGCATGCCTCCATATGCTTTGGCTAACTGTTAATGTTCATGTAGGTAAGTTTGAGATGTTGTGTATTCA